AGGGAGCTTGTAGAGAGTCAACAGTATTAGAAACTGTAAGAAAATCACGGCGCCCCACGTTTTTGCTCGCTTATAGTAGAGTGATCGCTTGCATTATTGTGATGTAGGGCCTATAGCATTTATTTTCTACTTTTTAGTTCAATCAGAAAACGTGGGTTTTTAAAAACTTTTTTAATGATTATTATTTTCTACTTTTTAGTCTTTGTCTGTTTGTTTGCATTAAAATCTTGCTATCGATTTTATCTTTTCACTTTTTTTGGGTAAACGAAGACAACTCGTAAAAAGACAACTCGTAAAAAGACAACTCGTAAAAAGACAACTCGTAAAAAACACGTTGTTTGAATACGTTACTGACTAGAACACATAGATTTGAACCCGTGTCGAGTGGGATAGCAATCGTGTGCCCTACCACTCGACCATATCGTCTCCCCCAAACTGGCCTACCTCCTGTAAGTTTAAACTCGGTTCAAGCTAAATTCTCTGCCCCTAAGCCTGTGGCGACATGTGATCGTTCGCTTCACTGCGCGCGAGGTACGCGTCGCTGGTTTTTTTTTGTAATGGCTAGCAGAGGAGAATTATATATATAGATTATATAGCGGTCTAAAATGCTCAATAAAATGTTTCCATTGATCAATTTAGTAATAATAACAATTGAATATTCAATGGTCATCCAAAAGAAAGCTTCCCTGAAAATTTCAGCGCGCTAGCTAACTGGGAAGTGCCAGAAATTTCGATCGCAAGATTGGATTGGAAAGACAAACAAATAAATAAATAAACACACAGAGAAAGCAAGTTAAAGAAAACGTGGTAAAAAGATAACACCACCCTCAACCCATTTGGTATCCAATTAGAATCTACTATGCATCTGTTTATCGCTTTCTACCTTTTATTTACATATTGTTAATATTTTCTATTAATTCCTCACGCTGTTTATATTGCAAAAAATTCTCAACAAAACTGTAAAAACACTTAAGACTATTATGGTTAAAAAAAAACCATGTTTGTATTTCTTTAATTCTGGTTATCTTCATTTGAATTGTTGATCCTTTTTTTTTAATAATGTTCACCATTTTGTTCATGTAATGACAATTTTTATTAATGTTTGAACTATGTTAAATACACACTATATCAAGCACACACACATTTGTATATATTGATGTAATGATTTGTATTTGAAAATAAAGATATTTAAAAAAAAAAAAAAAAAAAAAAACTGTTTAAATTTAAGCACTCAACACCCAATCCATCGCTAAATAATTAAGTAATGCTATTCAAATTCTCAAATGTTTTTTAAAAACCTAAGCGAAGCTAGGCAGTATGCCTAGTTATTATATAAGCATATAAACAATATTTTAAAAAGTAAACAAAACAATAAGACAATCAATTTAAAAATATTCAGTTTAACTAAAATCATCATATATACTATTAAAATTTCGCTGTGAGATATTTTGTCTAAGATATTTTGTCTCAGATCATTTGTCCATGGTATCATTTGTCCTAAAATATTTTGTCCTGGTGTCTCTTTGTCCATGAGGTCATTTGAACATGATATCATTTGTCCTGATATATTTTGTCCTAGTATATTTTTTCCGTGAGATCATTTGTCCTTGAGATCATTTGTCCTGAGATCATTTGTCTTGAGATCATTTGTCCGTGATATATTTTGTCTGAGATTTTTTGTCTGAGATATTTTGTCTGAGATCATTTGTCATGGAACCTGTGGGTTGTGTCGTGTTGGTAAGGGGAGAAGTGGAATTGAGGCCGTGGTGCGATGGGTGGTGTTTGGTTTAGGGATCATGGTGTCCTGTGGGTTAGTGTCCGTTTTTTTTTTTAAATTTTACCTTAAAGCTTTTAAATACCTAAAATTAAGAAAACACCATTATTTCACGAGAATTTCAAAGGTATAATTGTTTATGTTTAGTACAATTATCTTATATCATCCAAAAAAAGTATATATCGGAGTTTCACACTGTGGAGAGCCTCGGGTATACAGCTAGTTTTATATTATCCGCCTAGTTCCTGTTTTACTTCTCTTTACCCGCCAATTCTTTAGTTATTGATAAAATTTTAGTAACTTGAAAGTTTAAAAAATGTTTACACTTTTTTTCTCACCAGCTGCAGTGAACACGACAAACTACAGCCAACCATTGGACAGCTGCCGCGGAACTGACATCGACCTGCTGCTGGTGACCTACACACTGGGAAACTCCACATTCCAAATACAGAGGTTAAAGAATATCGTCGGGCACTTTCTTCCAGAAGGGAATAACGAGACTTTGAGACTTCGCGTCCATTTGCTGGACATAGTGAACAGTACTCACTCACAACATCTGATTGACTTTAACGACTACAACACTACAACAGGGTTGATTAAAGGACTGGATCAGTTGAATGATACAGGAACATATAAACACTTTTCCTACTATACAGGTTTGAAGATTGATGCTGAGGAAATATTCAAAAGATCAAGTCGTATCGAAGCTAAGCGGATTGCAATTATGCTAATTCAACCAGAGCAGCAGAAACTTAAATCATCTCACGGTCAATTTTCTGTTCCACAATTTTTACGTAAAAACGATTTCCCATTTGATGTCTATTACATCATAGACAAATCGGTTTCTCAGTATCTCAATACTCTGTCTGGTGGCAATTTCTTAACAGTTTCAGGAGAAGACATTGAATTGTTTAATGAAACTGTATGTGGGCAATGTAAACATGGCTGGATTCCACTAATGAAAACTGGGACGAGATCTCCACTGTCGTGTTTCTGTATTGGCAGCACTAGCTACAAGAGAAGTCATCGACAAGCGTTATCTGATTGTAAGAAAATGAAAGCTGATTTAGTAACTTTGGAAACAAGAGAAGAATTGCAATTCTTAGAACAACATCTTTCTGCTTTGGGAATGTATAATCCCAAACAATCTGCTGTTTATTATGTTCATGTCGGTTTTACTCAAAACAAAGATTCAACTACCGTTATGGGTATGTGGAACAATGGACGACCTTTGACATTTGAGTTTTCATGGGAATTCTTTAAGGGTAACAGTAGCTGCAGTACTGGATATTTAACGTGGAACATTGAAAGATCGTCACATTTAACGGGCGATAATGATAGCGTGAGTGTTTTGGCTGATGCTCGAGTTGAATGGACAGAACAAAAGAAAAATGTGTTGATTTGTGAATACGAAGTGTTCCGCTCTTTACCATTTTCTTCAAATACGACAATCGCCATACATCAACCAGAAGATGACAGCTTTCTCAAGGTATTGTGTCATCCAAGCTATAGTTTTGATAAAGGGAATTCTCTGATTTTATTACGGTACCACCTTCACAGAAGAGAAAAGATAAGTGTAACAACTAATTATGAATGCAATCTGAATAACTCTATTCACATAAATGTAGCTTGTGAAAAACAAAACGACTGCGATATTAAAAACAAATGCAAAGAATATTTTGCGAGATCAGTCGAACTATCTGGACTACTGCAATGTCCATTGAATACAACAAATTGTGAGAATCATTGTAATAAGTTACAAACAAACGAGTTCACAGAATTAGACGATGCTGAAGTCGAGGATGACGATAACCTTGTCCAACAAACTTGTGCCGAAGACTGTTTGGAAACAATGTGCGGTAACATCGCGTGCCTCCCAAGTCAGTGGTTCTTAAAATCAAAGTCATCTACAGAAAAATCAGCCACACACAATAACTGTTTCGAGAATTGCATAGAGTTGTTGAACCATACAATCGTGTACTGTGATGAAATGAGACAGAGAGTTACAAATTGCAGCGACTTTGAAGGAAAAAGAAAATTAGCACCACGTTGTGTTTATCTGAAAAGTAGCGCTAAAAAAGAAACAGGCTGTCCTGACTTGTCACATCTAAATGATTGCAAGCATTTTAAATGCTCCGAGGGTTTATACAAATGTCCTTTTTCTTACTGTATTCCATTGTATATGATAAATAACGGTGTTCAAGATTGTCCTTATGGAGAGGATGAAAATTTTACGCTACAGGGTAACAACCTGTTTAAATGCGATGGTTATTCTAAAAATGTTTATATCCTACCTGTTCACGTGTGTGACAAAAAGACACATTGTCCTCACCGTGACGATGAAAAGGATTGTCAAATGACTTGTCCAACGGGGTTTCAATGTGGTTGGAATTTTATAAGGCCAGCAATACCACCAGCTATGATTCACTTAGAGAACTTTAACGACTTTAAAACGTGGACATACATTTTAAACTTGTCTGGCATAGATTTGTCTAATGTACACGCCTCATCACGTGGAAGCTCACGTTCATTTGCTCACCTTCACGCGTCAAACTGTAACTTACGTGCTCTTGATAATATTTTTTTTGACCCTGTCTACGGGTCAAGTGTTGAATATATCGATTTCAGTCACAACAACATCAGTGAAATAATTAATATAGAAATATTCGATGCTACTAAATATTTAGTTTTTTTAAATATGTCTTATAACAGGGCATTGCATTCACTAGTGCTAAATCTCGAATACTTAAAAACACTAGATTTATCTTTTACGAACATTTCAACATTTAACTTTGCAATGGAAGCTTTGGAAAATTTAAATCTTAGTCACACCAGGGTTCATGTATTTTATTTTCCTACCACCATTGAATCCATAACTCTTGAATATCTAGATGTAAGATCTACTGACTTAAAAGTAAACCAACAGACAGCTAATTCTCTGGCTAAACTAAAGATCAATTCAGATTTTCACTGTGACCAGTATCAAATGTGTTGTCCTAGTATCCGTGGTTCATGGATCCCATTTTGTAGAGCACCCGTAGATTACATGTCAACGTGCGAAAATTTAGTGGATGACCCGGTAAAGCGGACATTGTTGTGGGTTGTCGCAGTGTTGTCAGTTGTGGGAAATGTAACGGTTCTGTTGTTTCGTTTCGTGTTTGAAAGAGCTGTCATAACCAAAAGCTATCGACTGTTTGTTACAAACCTCGGCCTATCCGACCTTATTATGGGTGTGTATCTGCTTATCATAGCTGGAAATGACCTCCATTACCGTGACAATTACGTCATGTTCGAGTCAGAATGGCGACACAGCAAACTTTGCTCAGTTGCTGGTTTCCTAGCAACATGGTCTAGTGAAACGTCAGCAATGTTTGTGCTTCTCATCACAATAGAAAGGTATTTGGCCGTAAGGTTTCCATTTGGGACATATAGGATACCACGTAACCTGAAATATTTCTTACTTATTTTATCCTGGACAGAAGGTTTGGTCCTGTCTCTAGTGCCTCTAGTCTACCAAGACTGGGGCATCTATTCTTCTAATGGAATGTGTCTTGGTTTACCGATGTCAAACCACCCAGAAAAAGGACTAACGTACTCATTTGGCGCTTTCTTAGTTCTTCCTGGTATTTTATTGGTTCTTATGACCATTGGTCAGCTTGCCATATTTTGTAACATTTCCGAAGATAAAATGAACACCCACAGTGCCATTAAACGAAAACGTGAGATCACGGTTGCCAAAAATTTATCTTTGGTCGTCATGTCAAACCTACTTTGCTGGCTTCCCCTGTTCGTGTTTGGATTAATGGCCACCAACGGTTACGATCTAAGCCATGAACTTTATAGCTGGCTGGTAGTATTTGTATTGCCACTAAATTCGGCCATTAATCCTGTTCTCTACACACTTCCTGTTGTCCACAAGCGGTGGGAGAAGTTTAAGAATGGACAAGCAGTAAAAGGTGCACGTTCTTCTATACCATAAGCATGATTGATGACCTCAGGCTATGACGTTGATTGAAGAAAACTTTAAGTCCACGTTGCACGGTTTTATTTATTGTTATTTTTTTTTACTATAATACCCTGGGGTCCAGCTACTGCCCTTGTGAGATGTTCTGAGGACGAGTCTGTAGTTGAATCTCGCATCCACTGGCCACTTCTTATGCTTTGCAGTGGGTCTCTTCACTTTGGTTGACCGACGGCATCAATTTAAAAACATTTATCAAACCCTAGAAAAAAGTTTTCTAATAATATATTAAAACGATGACTCAGTATTTTGCGCCTCTCTTGCTCTTCTTGTAATGCTGAAGTGAATTTATCATGGCTGAATGACAATTTAAGTTATATGTCTGGAGACTGAAAAAAAAAATAGATAAAGAATTATGGACGAATTGCTCGGTCTCCCCAGATTTTTAGGCTCCCTATACAATTTATCTTTAATTTGGAGTTTTAAGGCTAGAAATTAGACAGCGTTTGTTCGTATGTCCTTTAGTCTTGTAGAACGTTCTGTGTTTTCTAGGGCCAAGCCACAATGTCAAGGTTGAATCGACCAAGTTTTAGTTTTCTAAATAACTGTTCTTTATCCTGGTGTGGTCTGTTTTAAGTTGGATAATTATGCATTTTTACCGCCTCGTCTGTTTTAATTTATTTTAAATAGTGTCCATAAATATGAATTTATTTTTAGATTTATCATATTTAAAAATACACTGTACCAACAAAGGTCTTAAAACGTTGTGTACAAGAACTTCTTTTTACTATCTAAATTTCGTTGTTAAACATTTTTCAAAATAATGGTGTATTTTGAACCTTCCCAGTTAAAAAAACTAAAGCTGCATCAGCATAGAGTGTTAGTTGTCTCTGATGAATTTACTTCAAACGGTGTGTTTAATTTATTTAATTTTTTATAATATCTAAATGTCGATGTTAAATACTAATTTAAGACCGTCTGGTGATGTTGGGAACATTTTTTTTCATATTAGAAATGATTGCTTCAATAAATCAATATAAACATTGTGAATGTTTGATGTAAAGTTTTATTGTTATATAAAATATATAAATACTCACACGCATTCTAGTTTCGTATTAACAATGAATACCCTCCTCCCTTCCCCACGCCCCCTACAGATACGACAATGTATTTCGTAAGCTTATGTCGGCTAATTTCCAAAGTTTATAATGCTGATAAAAAAAGTCTTTTCTTTTTACATTCTCTATTTTTATATTTTTATACAAAAATTTTCATTTATAAATACAAATTTGATATTAATAAACAAGTAACAGAAAGAACAGGGTGGTCTTCTGGGCTCTGGAACAAATTAATGGCATTTCATTGGGAGAAATAGCTTTGATATAGAGCAGCTGGTTGTAAATAGAATTGTGAAAGAACGAACTAAATTCCTATCTCGAAGTATTTGTTTTTAAAAACCAGAAAAATAGGCATGTATATTACATGTTGGTCTAACGCAATTTATTTTTGGTAAAAGTTTCCCTTTTGTATGAATTTTATATTATATATGCATTAATTAATGTGTGCATTATTACATTGTCTTAAACATATGTTATTCTACTCAATAAACATACTTTGACAATGTCCATGTCCAAACATCCAATTAAAAATAATTTATTTCATGAAAACTTGACTCTGTAGAAACCGTATTATATTGTAAGAGTTTCCACGGAAATGATTTTGCCTATAAAACATTGCATACATTTTCGCCAATGTAGGTAGTACAAACAATAATGAATGTATCTGTAACAGTTTCTAGAATAATATACGTTATTTTGACACTTACTAGTAAATACGCCTTATACCTTATTCACAAAGCCGCAATTGGGTATGCACAAAGTTGCAAGAAGCTTAATAGTATTTTTTATCATCTTGTTCTTCTTTAAATTTTTTACAATACTTAAAAGCTAATTCTTTTTTTAGTTAATATATGGTATGTTATATGTGTAACTATATCAAACTTAATCTAAGCAGTGGGTGTCACCCGGTGCGGCACTTAATGGTGTCACTTTCAAGTTTTCGATTTGCACCCCCCCCCCTTCAAACTTTCAATTTGCACCCCCCCCCTCAAGTTTTCGATTTGCACCGCCCTCCCCCACCCCCTCAAAATTTCGATTTGCACCCCCTCCCCCTCAAGTTTTTCTCTATATATTTTGCTATTTTTTGCCTTGGTGTCACCATCCTAAATGGTGTCACACGGTTCGATCCGCACCCCCCGCCCCCACCCCTCGCTACGCCCCTAAATATAAGTATTTTAAGCACAGTGTTAAATGTTAAATATGCTAAATGTTAAATGTTAAGCATTAAATAAAACAACTATTTTCAAAAGGTGTTAATTGTTTACTTGTTTAAACATGTGTGTATGAGTTTTGTAAATTACATGTCCTCAACATAAAACGAATCAAATTGCATTATCAAATTTCATCTCTTCTATAAGGCGTTTGATTTCATTTTAGATAAACTTAAATTATGTCGGTAATTAATCATACTGGCCATTTTCACTATGAGAAGAAACAATTTTTTTTAAATAAGGGTTCTTCAATCATCGAATGCTACAAATGCATTAGCAGTATCATATTTTTATTTGCATTTAGCAACATAATACATTGATTACATTCCAATAGTATTAAGAATGCTATTTTGTTTTTATTTTGGGGTCTACATAACGTTTGTTAAAAACTGAACTCTAGCTTTATCGTAGCGTATGTAGCAAAAGATTTATTACGACTAAGAAATATAATATAACATATCGTCCTGTAAAATATAAGGAAAATTTATGTTTTTATGTATATTTCAAAGAACAAAATGGTGGAATATTTATGTTTATCGTTCTAAAATTGACGTAAATATATTGGTAAATTAAAATATAGTTTTAAAATATTAAAACATGTGTTACACTCGGCTTCTTATGTATTTTGGCTCGTTTGGGCCAGGTGTAACAATTATAAATAAATACACACAACAACTAGAATGTTTAAATGAAGTATAGTTTTTACCAATCACAAGAACACATGACAAGAAGAAAATCTGACCAGTAGGTACACGATGTTGACAACACACATTGCTTCACACACTGCCTCGTTCACACACTCTATCCGTGCCTACAAGTTAGACAATCCACGTTACACATGAAATTCAACTTTTATCCAAAACTAAATTTAATCCCGAAAATTGTCTTAAAAATTAAAACAAAGTAAATTAAATAACAACAACAAAACACACTCGCTCGCACAAACACACACGAGTCATCTCTAAATGATTATCAAAATAATTTAAAACTGTAAAACACTATTCAAATAAATTACAATATTTATTAAAGGGACACAATTCTGAAAAACGTATGTATTAAAATTTTTATTTTAACCTCCCTGGAATTATTTTTTTAAAATCTTTACAAACATTACAATTTTTAAAAGCATTTATTTAGTTTGCAATGTCTATTTGTTTTTCTGTTTGTTTGTTTGTTTGTTTGTTTGTTTGTTTGTTTGTTTGTTTGTTTGTTTGTTTGTTTGTTTGTTTGTTTGTTTGTTTGTTTGTTTGTTTGTTTGTTTGTTTGTTTGTTTGTTTGTTTGTTTGTTTGTTTGTTTTTTTGTTTGTTTTTTTGTTTGTTTGTTTTTGTTTGTGGCAAATCTTGTAACTCAATTTTGATCAGTTTCTAATGGACAATATTGTTAGAGGTTGGGGTGAAGAGTGACACACGACCTTGTGACGCCAGTGGTGCGAGGTGTACGGGACTGGGGGATTGACACAACATAGAAGAGATTATCTAATTTAAATAGATCTATAGGAAATACGTCATAATCAATCAGTCACAAGAAACAATTTGTTCTCTGTCCAGATAATATGGACTGCTGATGTCAGACAAATATTAGAGTGATTTAAGTCAATTTGAACATTTTTTTAAAAAATTGATTGTATATGGTTTTTTTGTTTCATTAATTTTACACATAGTAATTGTGAGATATACTAAAACGAATAAGCAAAACATTGCAACAAAATAGTAATTCAACTTGATTTTTTTTAATGGCATTTGTTTTTAAACTTAACATTAAAACAAAATTACTTATTTTCATGTAAACAATTAAAATGTCTGAAGCTATTAATGCTTAAAATATTTTGAATATTTTTGCAAGCAATACTTGGGTATTGGACTAAGTCATGAAAATGATCACTGAATAATCACAATGAAGTAGATCTTGCTTCACCAGCTGGAGGATCGAGATTTACCAGACGACATACAGTTGGAAAGAATTGTAATATAGTATACGTAGTCTTGTAATTTACCATCATCTTTATCATTCTGTATCAGTATATCTTTGCTTGAAAGGTCACGGAGCATGCAACACTTTGGCACGCGCACACGCACACGTACACGTTATTACAGTAAATCGATTAGCAGCGAATGATCTCTACCTCTGGTAAGGTTTGTCAGAAACGCTACGTATGATATGAGGGGTCTACATTCCATGACACACATAAAAAAACATCTATGAATTTTAAAACGTTTTTCTTAACTCAGCTTCGCGTTTGTTTGTTTGTTTGGATGTTTGTTGTTAAAATTGACATCGAAAATTAGCCCACTTCTGATTGCTCTAGAGACCTGAAATTTGGCATGCCTTCTACTTTCGCCTAACAATTTCAGATGCAATCATAAAAACTAGCAATTAGTGACCGTAATTAGCTTAATTTAATTACGCCCCAAGGACCATAAAAATGAGGACATGATTTCTAAAGATACCGACAAGACGTGAGGCCTATTGACACAGTTACTTCGGCCCCAATCGATGTGAGCGCGCTGGCCGTGATCGTATAGTGGTTAGTATTTCGCGTTGTGGCCGCGACAACCCAGGTTCGAATCCTGGTCGCTCAAGATTTTTAGTCCGTGTATTTATAAACACTTTTTTAAAAACCACGTTTTTCATGTGTAGCAACGGACTAAAAAGGAGAAAATAAAATACTTAAAAAAAACTTTTTAAAAA